GGAGAAGCAAGAAACTAAAAGCACCCGAGTATTTCTCCTGCACTTGAAAAGTGATTTTTTATTTATTTTTTTTATTTTTTTATTTTTCAGGTTCTGACACACAAAGGCACAACATCAGTCACTTGTCAATAATATTTTATGCTAATTATGGTGATTTTGCTGTGCAGGAAGTGCTGTTGTTGCCTGGTTACAGAAATCTGGCATTAAACTCCCTCCCCCTCTAGTGTGGTATACTGTGATTTCTAGAGGGATGGAGTAGCAGAGTGTCAGATATTAAATGTAATATATATTTAACATCCCGTTTAATGTAGGACGTGTACAGTGTCTCACTGTTTTCACTTTTTTACAAGATGTACTGTACATGAACTTAAAAAAAGTGTATATTGTTCATTCTTACTGTCACATGTTTCATTTTATAACATATTCTTATAGCACAACTAAACTGAGAGTTGACCTTTTTCCTGACTGATACAACAGTCGCTGCCCTCTTCCACCCCACTTCTTTCAGAGGCTCCAGACCCGCCTCTTTGACCTCTCTGATGAGCCTCTACATAAAGTCATTGATTGGTTTCTCTCCCATGCAGTCTATCCTGCTGTATGCTGACAAACTGCAAATGCTCACAAAACACTTTCTACTGTTCATACAGTATATAGTAAAACTGTATTGGTTAGACTGCAAAATTAATTCATTGGTTTTGAACATGTAGTTTAGATGAGAAGGTCTGGGAACCTTGGCCGCTTTGAATGGTCTAGGCCCGCCCAAGAGGCCATATGACTGACAGGTAAAGCAACCAATCACGTTTTGTTTTATGGGCGTGGAAATGTCCCAACAATAACAGCCAACGGTCCGTGGGCAAGACGTCTGAGGCTGAAACTAGTATTTATGTATTCTAATTATTGATTAGCCATTAAAGTCCCCATTAAAGTTATTATTAGTTATTATTTAGGTTATATTTTTGTCAGCATGCTTAAATATTTGAAAAAAAACCCAGCACTTTTTGCACTTTTAAAAAAGTAAATCTACATTGAAATTAAAAGAGAACTTTCAGTTGATAGTTTTAGTTTCTAACATATTTTCCTCCTTAAACTGGTGGATGTATGGTAAATGCTGTTGAATTGGTTGTTTAGGAAGATCAATAAGAGCCAACTGTGACCCGTGCTGGCAAAATGCGTCGGAAAAAATCGGAATGAGCAAATTTCTTTTTATTTTCACATTCTCCATTAAAATACCTTCAAAATGATATATGACTTATGTCAGACTCTGTTCCGTGTTTTGTGTGTGTTTTGCTCCTCATGTGTTTCCTTATGCCCATATTTGGTTATGTTCCTGTTCCTGTCCTCATTGTTTCATTATTAGTTCATTAGTATCCACCTGTATTTGTTAATTATCTTGTTTAGTTTGAGTATTTAAGCCCTGTGTTTTCCTGTATCTAGCGTCTGGTATTAACGTCGATGTTGTGGTTCTTGTGTGTCTCTGCCTGCCTTGTGTTCCCTGCCTTGTGTTACCCCTTTTGGATTATGGATTAAAAACTGTTTATTTTGAGTTTATCCTCATCTCCGTGTTCTTTGTTTTGCCACAGAAGGCAACCGTGACAGAATACCAGACCTATACAGTAAGCGGCGCCCCTTCTCCTCGTTTTGTTTTTTTCGGTTTTGAAAGTCTTTTGTTTTCTTGTTTTTTTTTCCGCGGCATGGAAGTCGCCGCTCGTTTTTCCGCCTTAGCCCACTGAGATCTCCCCTTCATGGAGTAAGCGTGGGAATTCTGCGGGATCACCGCGAGAACTGCGAGTCCGCCGGCCGCTCATCAGTCAAGTCTGCCAGCCGATCCTCAGTCAAGTCTGCCGGCCATTCATGAGTCAAGCCCGCCGGCCGCCCTATTCACCCGTAACCAGAAGAGGAGGATGAGGAGAAATGGATGGCTCACGGCCCTCTTCCTTGCCCGAGAGCGCCCCCCAGAGCTTGCTCCAGTGTCGGCTCCAGCCCCAGAGCTCGCTCCAGTGTCGGCTCCAGCCCCAGAGTTCACTCCAGTATCAGCTCTAGCCCCTGACCAGAGTCAAGTCATGTCCCCTGGAGCCATGTTTGAAAGTCTTGTCGTGTCCATAGGAACAGTTCCAGTCGGTCTTGTCTTGTCCATTGAGGCTCGTCTGGGGCAGGCGGCTTCTCTTGTCATGGCCACGGAGGCCATTCCCAAGCCGCTTGCTTCTCCTGTTGCTTCTAGGAAAGCGGTTCCTGAGTCTAACCCTGAGAGGGCCCGTGGCTCCACGTCCTGCCCAAGGAGGGCTGTTGTACTCACGTCATGCCCAGAGAGTGCCTCAGATTCCAAGCTAGCCCAAGGAGGGCTCCTGTTCCTGAGTTTAGCCCACGGAGGGCTCCTGTTCCTGAGTTTAGCCCAAAAAAGCTCTGAATTAGGCCCAGAGAGGGTCACGGTCCCTATGTCTGGCCCACAGAGGGCCTCGGAGCACGTAATCTTCCCCAAGTATTTTTTTTGTGTGTGTGTGTGTGGGGGGGGGTTATAGGGCTCTAGCCGTAGAGGCCGGGGCGGGGGCAGGGGCTGGAGCCGTGTGTGTGTGGAGGGGGGGTTATAGGGCTCTAGCCGTAGAGGCCGGTGCGGGGGCAGGGGCTGGAGCCACGGCCTCGGAGGCTGCTCCGCCATGGCCTCCTGGACTGACATGACAGAGAGGCGCGTCGTATGCACGTACGCACTTTGCAAATGTCAGTCAGCGCGATCTTTTTTTTTTTTTTCCATCAGCATCGGTTTGAAAATCATATTTCATTTAGATTTGATTATTCACAAAGCTGGAATGCTGCGCTTTGCAACAATAGACCTACAACTTGTGGTGAGAAGCAGTAGCAGTCATCCAGAAGTGAGCAGAGAAAAAGGTACTCCTCTCAGAAAACGTAGAAATAACAAACATTTTAGATGTTTAATTACTATTTGGAGCATTGGGATCGCTAGAAGAGGGCTTAATGAACTCATTTTTGTGAAAACCTCAAATTCAACCAAAACTGACATTTTTCACTTTTGCCTGTATAGCTCAAAATTAGACCGTGCGCATTCCGACTGCCAGCACGGGTCACATATGTTTGAAACAAACATACATTTAGCCTAAATACTTGCAGTAAAGCTTTTTAACAATGGAACACCTGATTTCATACATACACGAGTATGAGTTTTACTCAGAACTCTACCCTACATTAAGCTAAAAGAAGTGGAGCTTTGTTTTTGTCGTTTGGACTGATGTGGTCAGGGTCTTGGTCATCACCATGGTCACTGTTCAGTACAACTGTGTGAAGCTAATGTGGTCAATTGCCAAGGCAGGTCATAAACAAAACAGCTGAGCTCAGTGTCTGGAAAGCCCTGTGATGGGCTGGACTGTTGAGAACAATATCATAGCAGAGCTGAACTGGATGTTTGGCAGTAGTGCTTTGCTAGCTGTATGCTGAAGAAAACTATTAGGATTTCTCTGTAGAAATGAGAGTGAGTAAACCCAACCATGAAAGTTCTGTTTAGAGCAATACACATTATAATGTGTAATATAGTGCTGTCTTATATTGATGTGTCATGACTGCTTTTGCTTTGATTATGAAGGCTCATGTTTTTTGTTAATGTGTCTATCAGTTATGCAAGCACTCAATGTTTGTAAATACAGAATAGACTTGAGATATCAGAAATGGTGTTGGTATTATAGTTTTTAAATATAATTTTTGAGTGACTGGAAAATTAAAACTATGCTACTTGCAGATATGAACAGTATATGAATTTATGTCTCTCCATTTATGCTTTTGTTCTATTTCAATATACCTGATTGCTTTATTGTACACACTGGGTAACAACGATTGCAGAATTTCAGTAGTGTTAAAATTTCAATAATTATTTTAAGTTAAAGTGTAATTAACAAAAATTATAATTTGTCATCATCTACTCACCCTAATGTCATTCCAAAACCCATAACACTTTTATTCATCGTCAAAAAACAATTTCTGTATCTCAATTGCAAGTCCATGCACTTTCAGAAAAAAAAAAAATTTCTAACAGTGTGCAACCAAAACTTTGATGCTGCAAAAAGTTCATAAAGGCATTGCAAACAGAATTCATATGAATCAAGTGGTTTAAACCAATTCTTCTAGAGACATAATTTATATGATGAATGGATTTAATATAGGCTTTTATTCACATATAAGTATGAAATATGGCAATCTGAAGCTCATGCTCGATTGATGCTCAAGACCAATGTTTCCGTGTTTACCATATTTGATGAGCTCTATGTATGCTCCTTGATAAGTGTACATAGATTCTTTTTGCTTGACAATTTGATACATCTGTTTTTTATTTTTATTTTATTTATTTATTGTGTGTGTGTGTGTGTGTGTGTGTGTGTGTGTGTGTTTGTGTGAGACAAAGCTATTCTTTTCCATACAATGAAAATAAAAGGTTACCACTGATACTGGTCCCCATCTGTTTCACTGTATGAAAAGAACAGCTTGGACATTCTGCTAAATATCTATTTTTGTCTTCCACTCAAGAAGATGATGTATATATGTTTGGAATGACATGAGGGTGTTTATTTATTTTTTTCATTTTACATCCCTACAAATTGGTCTTGATCACATTTCTCAATTATTTACCAAATTCATATTTCTACGGTTTTTATGCTTTAAAGTTTTTTTTTTTTTGTAGTAGTAGTAGTAGTAGTTTAGATTGTGCATGTGTGTGTTCAGCCCCACAGCATCCCTCTCACAATTCTGACTACCTTACAGTGAGTCAGCACTAATAATGCATGCTGACAAAAGCAGCTGTATCTCATTGGCTTGCGCTTTCTCATGTTCCCTCTCTCTCTCTCAGACATCATTGTTCAGTTTAATCTCCTAATGCCCTATTGGCTGAGAACTGGTCCCGACATCTGCGCCTTCATCTCTTCTTTTAAGACTCAGATGAACTAAGACATCACAATCCCACAATGCTTTGCAAAGTGTACTGCAGTGAGTTAGCATTTAGAGAGAGAGAGTTGGTGAGAGGAAAAAGGGAGGGAGGAAAAGTGAATGTTTACATGGTGAATTTATGAATGACGTCGAGAGTGAACGAAAGAAAGGTGTGGCCTGATTAAAGATCCAGAAGGAGCGAGAGTTTGTGTGCTAGTTTGAAATGAGCTGTCATCTTTTTGCTGGCTTAGCGGTGCTCAGATATCTTTCCTGCTCAATGCAGACAGAAATGCAGCATTGCTGGGTATCAAAATGTGGGATGGTGCCTTGAGAACAACAGCTTGATGGTAGGTTTCAGTGGAACTCTTTCTGATATGCACTGCGGATGCTCCATTGATTCTCTCACAATGCTGCTGGTAACATTTTGTCATTGTGGATAATACTTAATGTTTTGACAAACTTATGATGGATACAGTAATGCTTTATTTTTGCAAATTTGTGGGAAAAAAATTAACATATATCGATGGATGATATATATATAGTTCTTGGTACAACTTTATGGTTGACAAAGAATAACTGCATTATATTATGAGTTCTGGAGCTGTTAGTCTGGTGTGTAATGTTATACTTTTTGTGGTATTTAGGGGTAAATTACTGTTGTTCATCAGTATAATCAGATGTCTTCATCATGTGAAAGAGAAATTGTGCGCCAGGCTTGCTTATATAAATATTATGTAACAGAACCAAGCTGGGATGGCATGCGGAAAATGACAGGGGCTTTTAGGAGTCTAGGAAATTTGTTTGTTTTAGAGTCTGACTATTTGGAATATGTAACCCTGGACCACAAAACCAGTCTTAAGTGGCACGGGTTTATTTGTAGCAATAGCCAACAATACATTGTATGGGTCAAAATTATCCATTTTTCTTTTATGCCAAAAATCATTAGGATATTAAGTAAAGATCATGTTCCATGAAGATATTTTGTAAATGTCATTTCCTACCGTAAATATATCAAAATCTAATTTTTGATTAGTGATATGCATTTCTAAAGACATCATTTGGACAAATTTAAAGGCGAATTTCTCAATATTTTGATTTATTAATTTTTTTTGCTCCCTCAGATTCCAGATTTTCAAATAGTTGTATCTCGGCCAAATATTGTCCTATCCTAACAAACCTTACATCGATGGAAAGCTTATTTATTCAGCTTTCAGGTGATTTATAAAGGTAAGTTTAAAAGAAATTGACCCTTATGACTGGTTTTGTGGTCCAGGTTCACATATATAGGCTATCTACTATGGTAAATGACTGGAAAATACTATAATGGTAAAGACAGAAATATCATTTGTGGTGGGAGTTAGGGGTGGTGGAATACATATATAGAGTCCACACCATTGTTGCCTTGAAAGGGAGCTCCTGATGTCAATTTAGTACGAAATAATTATATGTGTGTGCAATTTATTTACTTATTTATTTATTTTTATTTTTATTTATTTATCAAAAATAACATTCAACTGCTGTCAATCCATGAACCTATCACTTTACATTGCTAAAAATGTAAAGTAGTTAAGTTACATATTTAAAAATGATGTAACATCAGTCATTTGTGTAAATGTCTTAATATTTTGATTTCAACAACCAAGAAATTGTACACCCATGAATTAATTTGCTATTTTTCTGTGTTTAGCATAGGGACAGATATAGTGTATCTAGTAAGTTTTTTTTGTATAACACTTTTCTTAAAAATAATTTAGCAACACAAGCAATACATTTTTTTGTTATTTGCTAATATCTCACATTTCTTCAAAATCTCACGTGTTCCCTCTCGAACTCACAGCCTTGTATTTCTTTCATTTCAACCTTGTTATCTCAGTTCTTAGTTTTTCAGATTTTTTCCATCGCTGCTATTTTTTTATTGTTGGTATATGAATGCGAAACATAGACATTTTTGCCAAATGCCCCATGTCTCATTGTTTTTTTCAGCATCTTCCACCATGAGCTCTGCCATTTGACACCATGTCAAATTAAGAAGTAATTGAAAAAGGGCATCAAATCGGTGTCAATTCTAAAACAATAGACAGATCAGATCAATCTGGTAGCAGGATAACCATATATACATACAGTATACAAGCATATTAGAATATGTTATCATTGTCATATAAGCAGCAGTGTATGGGAGTTCATTCACTTCTGTTGCATTCCGTCTAACAGCTGATTTTAATTTAAGAACTTGTCCTGTGTGAACACCCCCTTATGCTCTGGTTCAGATGTTCACAGCCTCTTTCCGTCTCTCAGTGTTGCTATGGTGATATGGTTTCGGTGAAGCTCAGAACGAGGGGGTGGATGATGCCCTTGAGGGATCCACTTCAGCACTGTGGATGTGTCCTGCTTCTTTCCATCTTACTGATCTACAGTATTTGTGACATGCCCTACATTGCAAGCTAATCTGCACTTCCTTTGAATCAAATCTCAGATGGCAGTTTGTGGATGTTTTCTCATAAATTGCGTGTTTCATCTCTAAAGCTGGTGTCTCCCTAGCCATTTTTTTCAGCTGATTTTCAGTTGTAATATATACAGTTGTATGATATGTAAATAGCACAGTCAGGAACATCACAATGTCTGACAGATGCTCTCACAACTTACACTTATTAGTTCTTCTGATGTTATCAGTGATGTACTACTTCCTCTCTATTTCCTCATTGCAACTGCATGTCAGGTTTATAAATAATAAATAGGCGTTGTTGATGTGTAAATGTGTGTTCATGCGTTAAAGTGCATTCTTCTGTCTCATGTCAGAATTTTACAGAAGTACAGAACAAGCTAGTTGCAGTTTAGTTTTAGCTGAGGAGAATGTTTTTTGAATGTCACAGTATATTTACATAATACAGAACTGTTTTAGTATACTGTTATATAATATTATATACTGTCAGTTTTTTTATTAAATTTTTTGTTTGTTTTAGTAATTTTTACTTATGTGCTTATATATTTTTTATTAAATATTTCTATAGCTGTTAATTGATGTTTATTTCCTTTGTAGTTTTAGTACAGTTAAGTGTATATTTAATGTTTTCATCTAATATTTATATTTAATTTTATTTCAGCTTTGTTTCAATTACCGAAACAATTTTAATTGTAATGCTTTTAGTTTTACTTAAATAGTAACATCCCGTGGTACAGAGCAGTGCCCTTCAGTACCAATGACTTTGCACAACTTTGACATTTAGTATTGGAATTAGGAATTAAGTAGAAATGGTTTACAAGGACAAGACGCTCACACAGTAGCTATGCTTAAAAAAGCAGTGTTACTGATAAGAAGAAGAGCTTATGATCAAGATCATCAAGCTCAAAGAACAGTGCTGGAGGCAGAGCAACATAAAAGGAAAAAAACACAAAGAAAAGAAACAGGATTGATCTACTCCCCACAGGAAATGATAGCAATTACAGAACAAATGGGTTTGAGTGGAACCATGCTGGTATTGTGGTAACCTGAAGCATTTTAATCTTATAGCATGAAGTCTCAATTTTCCTCACCACTGAGAATGGACTGGATGAGACAAGCTGTCTGTTTGTCATTAAAGATACAATTTTAGAATTTGTTTTTATTACTGTATTTGTGTTCTTGATAAGGTAAAGTGTTGTTCCAAACCTGTACGAATTTCTTTTTTTTTGTTGAACATAAAAGAAGATATTTTGAAGAATGTCGGTTACATTGTTTTGGTTTATTTTGAACGTTTACTCGACGCACATACTACAAATTCGGGTGTGCAAAGTACTATTTTTGAAGAATGTTGGTGAGTAAACAATTGCTTGTAGTCATTGACTTCCAATGTATTTTTGCCCCAAAGATCTTTTGTGTTCAACAGAAGAAAGAAACTCATTTAGGTTTGGATCAACTTGAGGGTGAGTAAATGATGACAGAGTTTTCAATTTTAGGTGAACTATCCCTTTAATTTGACTGAATTTTTATGGGAAAGTTGTTTTTTCCAGTGTTTACGATCTATCCACAATAAGAGTGTGTTGCTTTGTTAGACTTGAATAGGTTTCCCAATATGTAAGAGATTTATGTTTCACTCTAAAAGTATTACCTTATACGGCATCCAATGCAGACAAGCCCGTATATTTTCTCTTTATGAGCTGTCATATGCCACACCAGACTGTCTTTTCCAGTCTGTTACATAGATATTGTCCAGAAGCCTGTATTTAGAGTTCTACTTTCACTGAGCACTTTGTGGTCAGTGGATGGACTTGCAGATGCATGACTCTGCTCTGCTCAGCACTGAGGACATCTGGAACGTTCTTCTGCTTGGCTTTGTGCAATGTGTGCATTAAAACAGACAGCTTTTAAATGCCTAATTAAATATTTACTGCAATGGCTGTATCTGTTCTGAAAACATTGTGTGCTCTTAAAAACTCTGCAAAACAGATAAAAATGGATATTTGCTAATTATTTTTATTTAAAGTGTCCTTAAAATACAGCTGTGAAAAAAGTGGAAAATGCATCAAAAAGCATTAAACATTTCCAAAATGGGGTACATGCACATAGTTTGCAAGAGCATGATTCTAAACACAATGAGGCTGTAAAAGCAGACTAGTGTGATGATGTTTAATGTCCCTAACAAACTCTATAGTCCCATTTAAGTACTTGTTAGCAAACGGCTTTTTAAAGAAAAGCAAAGTCTTAAAAAATAATAATTAATTAGAGTAGGTTTTACTGATATGTTGTAAAATAAACTGTAAAAATATCTTGTGTTTGCTTGTGTTAACCACAGATCGTATTTCAGGCATTTAACCAAAGACGAATTAAAAAACCCATTGACTTCAAGGCGATGGAACTAGAAGTGCTAAAACCCTTTTCAGGCTTTTGGCTTACAAAAATATGTCATCCCTCCCTATAGCACTCTATTATCATCTTACTGTTCATCATGGCTGATGTTTTACCTTTTAGATTATTAATTTGGATTTACTGCTCACTTTAACACAGACATAAGTCAAGACAGCATGCTTTAATTATTAATCTGCCTTGTAATGGTTAAAAACTCAAGATTTCGTGAGAAGTGGGATTCCAGTGCCTCTAGCACCTTGTTTGTATGAATTAATGCAGTGTATTTTCACACAAAAGAAACAGCTACACCTTGTGGGCCTTCCCAGGAAAAACATCTCATCTCATTTTTATTTTTTCATCTATTTGTATTAACTCCAGTATCCTCTCCACAGGGTCAGGGCTGAAGGAGTGTGGGAGGTCTTTGACAGAGTGTTAGGATGGCAACTGAAGCTTCTACCCTCCCAAGTCCTGTGGTGCGTCAGATCGACAAACAGTTCCTGATTTGCAGCATCTGTCTGGATCGCTACAACAATCCCAAGGTCCTTCCCTGTCTTCACACCTTCTGTGAAAGGTATGTAATTTTTGGTACTACATTATATTGCTCAATTAATTTTTTTATTTATTTTATTGCTCAAATTATTTACAATTATTAAATATTTGTTTTGCTGAGTGTAAATGACATTATTACATTAACCTTTACATTATTGTAAAGGTGATTTTACTGATTAGATAGTTTTATAATATGAAGAGCACGACTTAACGGTATATGCAACAACAATAACAATATGCAAAATTAACATTACAAGCTCAAAACTGACAAATTTGTTAATGCAGGAGGAAGCACTACAGTATATTTCTTCAAAGCTGCAGCTCACCTTATCACCCAGCATTTATCCCATTACACTTCCTCTCATTGGCCAATAATGACAGGGGAGTGATTAGTAGTCATTATTGCTGACACTTGATGGCAATCAGACTTGTCCATAAAAGAGAAACAAACAAGAAGGCAGACACCAAAACAAGAAATAATGTAAAAGTTTGTCCTAGGACGTACTGAAACAAATACATGGACAATAAAGAAAGATACTGTAAGCGTTTTCTATTTTAAAAGATGATAAACATGTTTATGCTGTGCAAGGTATGCATAATTGTAAGATTTATTATTATTATTAAGTTTTAATTTGTCTTCTTACAGTATAAGTGTAATATACATAAACCACATTAACCTTTACTTTGATATGACAATGCTGTAAATTAGATCTAAAATATTTCCAAAAGTATTTTATGTTTGTTTATATTGTTTACCCAGTCAGGCTATTCTTGTTTGAATAGCCCTAGCATATTTATTTTGCCCCATGTTACAATCATCCATTTAGTTTGCAGTGTCACCAAACTTCCATGATCCAGTCAATTCCCGATGGACAAGATCAATTCCTGCCCTGCATTTTTTGTTCCTGCTTGATAAGTTGTTTTGCTCAGATATACAGTATGTCACAATACAGAAGAAAAGTTGGTCACAATGTCTGTTTTTGACAGCCCAATGTTTGATTTATCACACAAACACTTACAGTAGTACACAAATTAATATGTATTTGTTGTGATAGCCAGGCACTGCCAACGAAGTTGTTTTTTCAGTAACCTGTTCCTGTTTCTCCAGGTGTCTGCAGAACTACATTCCTGCCCACAGTCTGACTCTGTCTTGCCCCGTGTGCCGTCAGACCTCCATCCTGCCGGAGAAGGGTGTGGCGGCACTTCAGAGTAATTTCTTCATCACCAACCTGATGGAGGTGCTAAAGAGGAGCCCAGACACTAACCTCAGTGAGGACTGCACTGACGCTATCAACGGAGTGGCCACTGGACAACCACTCTCCTGTCCCAATCATGGAGGAAATGTAAGAATTACACAGCAGCACAGCATAAAAAAACTTTCAAAAATCTGTAGTGTACAAACGCCTCACTGTATGGTACTGTATGTTAGAAGTATTTTCCTCCAGGCAAGTTGCATTCTGTCCAGTTTTTGCAAAGGGAGAACATAATAATATAATTTATAAGGGCATTCATATTCAGTATGATATTCAGTTCTCCCTTTCTTGTCATCAGCTAATGGAGTTCTACTGTCCACCATGTGAGACAGCCATGTGTGAGGAGTGTACTAGTGCCGAACATGCAGAACACGCCACTGTCCCGCTCAAGGATGTTCTAGAACAGCACAAAGCCTCGCTACAGGAGCAGCTGGACGCCGTCAAAAACAGGCATGTAACATACACTCATGTACACATTGCTACAGAATTTAAATTTATGTTGTTTTATGTTTAAGCAGCAAAATTTCTCATTAAAAATAGAGCTGATTATGCAGAATGGAGAAAAGCAAATGAATACACAGTAAAGGTCCTTGCACACTGAGTCCGAAATTTTCGTATGCTTTTTTTCATATTCATCATCCTAAAAATTCGTCATGCGCAGAAACCTTGCACACTGAGTCCGATGCATACTAATTGATTTGATTAATTGATTGAATTGTCAAAACACCTCTCAAAATGCTTGCTACGGATGCGAAAAACGCAGAAAATCGAACCAGATGCGAATTTATGACGGACGAAAATTTTGGAGGCAGTGTGTAAACGTGATTGACACAACGTGAGGTCGTATTTATTTTTCAACGTGTGAAAATTTTGGACGAAACATTCGGACTCAGTGTGCAATGGTCTTAACTCCTGGAGTTTGCTCCTGTGAATTAGTCATTGCACCATTAAACACCAAATAATCCCAGATAGCAAGGTGACATTGATACAATGTCGAGTTTTTATCCAAACCATCACCTTGGTTGAGGTTGACATTTCAATATTTCAAGTATCGACATTGAAAGTTTGATGAAAACTGACAGCACACATGGGTGGAGACCGGGATATTGAACAAACATTGATTTGCTGTTGATGACCACTGCATCATGAAAATATATCTCTGCGGAATTATAGTGGGTGTTACCCAATCTGTGGGGCATTTTCAAACATAATAGACATTTTCAACTGCATTACCTGATTTGTTCTAATCACCCATTGTAGTATAAAATTCTTACTGATTAAGAAACACCCATTTTTGTTTTGCATCTGCACTTCTCAGCAGTCAATTTGATATTTCCTCATTAAAGAGAAAACAGATGCATCCTATACAGAAGTCTTGTTTGCTGAATCACCTGACAACGTCATACTTCTCTGGTACAATTTGAACAATGTTGCATCTACTTTATTATTTCTCTGTTCCTTTGTTTTAGAGGCTTGTTTTTCTGTTGAAATCTCATTCATTTCATTAATTGTGGGTGCAGAAGTGATATTAAACCAACACCACTTTGTAATATTAATTCAATGCAGTTAGCATTGACGCATCAACATTGACTTTCATTGTTTTAAATGGTTGCTTGCTATCTTGGCTATTATTATTATTATTTTATTATTAAAACCAGGGCCAGCATATTAATATCTATATGATTTATTTATATTCACAGTACAAATATAAATCATATAGCGATAATATGAGGACATAAAAATGGCTGGTATAAATATTTTACTATAGAATTAAAGGTTGAATTTCAAATTTGACACTTCATTGCTTTAAATTTCATGTCAACTATTTGCATAACTACATTTTAAACACTAATTTAGTGCAGCAAAAGAATGTGCTTAAGTGTGTAGTACACAATAAGTGAGACAAAACTAAGTGCAAAAGTGAAAAACAAAAAATTAAAACCATTAGTAAAATTCAAGTACAAAACATTATGAATCGCATTAAATTATTTAAATATATGCAGAACTGGACACCCCTGTTTTATAGTTTTGATGTCTTTACTATGATTCTACTATGTGGGAAATAGTAGTGATATAAATGACAAAGAAAGAGTAGATTTGTCCAAATGTTTGACTGGTAGTGTGCAAAAAATGAAAGAAAAGTAACATAAAAATAGATAAAATATGTAACTTGCTCTTTTTTTTTAGACTGCCAGAAATTGACTCTGCGCTGGAGGTTTTGTCTGATATTCTACAGCAACTGAACAATCAGAAGAGTTCAATAGAAGAAGTGATTCATACAACTTTTGAGGAGCTTCAGAAGACCCTAAACGTACGCAAAAGTGTTCTGCTGATGGAGCTGGAGGTCAACTACGGACTCAAACAGAAGGCTAGTAGACGCTATAACTTTTGTAATGTTGTTATTAGAAACCCGGCTTTTCCCTCAAATAGCAAAATATTCAGCATTTTGTTTTGTTTTCAACATTAGCCTTAATTCTACACATTGTCAGATTATTTCTTTGGTTATAGTATCAACAGATTCAGATTCAACTACCCCTAAAAGTTGCATAAAATCTAGTGAATTGTGAGTGGCTGTTTTATATGCCTGTCTAATTAAGCAGTTCTTGACTGGAACAAGTTGCAAAGCAGACCAGACTTTATTTCCTGCACTGTTATTTTACACCCATCCATCCTGGCTCCTCTGGTATCATTCACAATGTCTTGCTGTGATGAATGATTAAACCAATCAATAACTGTAGCATATGCTTCTGTGAGGGTCTGACATCAGTCCTGGCAGCTGGCAGTGCGTCACATGGGAATGATTCATCTGGGAGAACCAGACCAACTACAAAATCACCTGAGCCCTTAAACACAAAGTAAACAAAGGCAGCACAGCTAGTCGCTAACAGGCACACATAGTTTGAGGCTTTGTAATGGAAGAGGACTGTGATAAACAAGTTGAGGTGAGGTAGGATTCTGGATTCAGTTTTCTTTATGGAGTTTTGTTTTTAGCGTTTGAGAATCAAACTGCTTGTCAAGTTTTTTTCTCATGTGATGTTTTTATGATGGTTGTGGTTAATGATTGAACATATACTCCAGATGTAAGTGGTGTTATTTGTGTGTGGATCATTGATTTATCAAAGCATGGATCTGTCAATGCTTTTAGTGCATTTGGTCCTTAACCAGTGTCACTGTCATTCTGTGATGACTGATGTATCAGACCCCCTTTTTCTCTGATAGATGCATGTCAGGAATTATTGTTCATTTAGAGCTGACTGTTATGTTGTCCAGTACATTCTTTTAGCTCTGATTAACTTCTAATATTTCTTTAGCACATACAGTGGGGTCCACTAGTTCAAATGCTTAAGTTTGTAATTCTTTAGTAAAATAATTCCCAAACACCAATTTTTAAAATGTTTTTGAAAATCTTATGCTCAACAAGGCTGCATTCATTTGATAAAAAAATACAATAAAAACAGTAATATTGTGAAATATTATTACTATTTAACTGTTTTGTATTTTGTATTTTTGTAAACTGTTTTGTATTCTTGTGATGGCAAAGCTGAATTTTCAGCAGTCATTACTCCAGTCTTTAGTATCAAATAATTATTCAGAGATCATTCCAATATAAAAATTAATATTATTATAAATAAATTATATAAATTGCGTATAATATATAATGTATTAAATTTATACATTATTATATTGTAAATTAAATATTAATTGCATTATAGTATTTTATTTTAGTAGATATATGCTCTATACTGTATATACATAATTACTATATAGTATTGGCTTCTGTAAACTAAAGTAGAGTTTCTACAAATTATATTGTCAGCATAACAGTTAAACTTTTTTTAATGAATATCAGATTTTTTGTTTTAGTTATGCCCTCCTTTTGCAAAATTCACAGCATGTTAAATCAAGTATATCAAGGAGTTTTATAGAAAACCCGAACGTCATGTTGTCCAGCATAATTTGAGAATGTTCCAGCATCTTGTGCTTTACCGTCTATACAAAGGATTTAAAGGGATAGTTCACCAAAAAAAATTAAATTATGCCATTATTCACGCACCCACATGTCGTTCCAAACCCATAAGACCTTCTTTTATCTTCGGAACTCAAATTAAGATATTTTGATGAAATCCGAGAGCTCTCTGACTCTGCATAGGCAGCAATGCAACTGAAATGTTCTCAGGCCCAGAAACGAAGCAAGGACATTGATAAAATAGTCCATGTGGCATCAGTGGTTCAAACTTAATTTTACGAAGCTGTATATATATGTATATATATATATATATATATATATAATTTCTGTCATGACAACTCTCGGAGGGATTGGCATGGTAATGTACATGACAATGTTAATGTATTTGGTCTTGGCGGAATAGATCTGCTACGCTGCTGCTGCGGCAGAGCAAGTACCGAGACTTGCTACTGCCAATACATGCACAACATGCTGCTGTGAGCATGTAAGAAATATTGCTGCTGCAAATATAACATACATGAAATAACCCCCATATAGTGTACATGAATCACCTCATAGCAGATCTATACAGGTGGAGCTGGGGAAGGTGGAGGGTTTCTGAAGCAAGCTGCAACTGCTACGGCAAGCATTAGTCATATATTTGAATGTTGAGCAGCGAGCTCATTGGCTACAGATACAGGAGAGAACCAATCAGCTGTGCCATGTGATAATGATGTCATTAGGTCAGATTGAGTTAGACCTATCGGACTGCGCCATCTAGAGTTTCATGCCAGAACTCTGTATATATATATATATAATACTTTTTGTGTATTACAGAAATTTGTTGCATTTGATTAGTGATCTAGAAAAAATACAGAATCTTAATCTTATCTGTGTGCTTCAGTGTGTGTAAGTGTTTATACATGTATGTTTATGAATATATCACTAATGTGTCACTGCAGGTGTTGCAAGCCCAGCTGGAGTCGTTGCTGCAGGGGCAGGAAGGCATTCGCAGCAGCTGCAGTTTCACAGAGCAGGCTCTTAATCACGGCTCGGAAGCTGAAGTCCTATTGGTCAAGAAGCAGATGAGTGAGCGTCTTGATGAGCTGGCAAGTCAGGAGCTCCCACTTCGGCCAGAGGAGAACAGCCAGCTTGACTTCTTGGTGGAGACCGACGGTCTTCGCAAATCCATCCACAACCTTGGTGTTATAATAACCACCAATGCTGTTGCTGCAGAAACTGTTGCCACCGGTGAAGGCCTGAGGCATTGTATCGTGGGGCAGCCTACTTCTGTGACCATAACAACAAAAGACCGAGATGGAGGATTGTGCCGGACAGGAAATGCTCTGCTAATAGCTGATCTTTCTGCCTCTGATGGCACCGTAGTGGGGGAAGGTGAAGTCACAGATCATAAAAATGGCACTTATGAGTTTGTATACACGGTCCCGTGTGAGGGCCGCTTCACGCTCTCGCTAAAGCTCTACGATCAGCATATTAGGGGCAGCCCGTTCAGCATACGTGCCAGAAAATTGACAGACATCTCCCTGACTGCAGACGGAGGCAAGAAACGTCTCAAATCTCCAGGAAGTAGCCATGTGAAACAGCTTGCCATCAAGCGCCCTGCCAGCATGTACAGCACGGGCAAACGGAAAGAAAACCCAATTGAAGATGACCTCATGTTTCGAATTGGTATGATGAACACACATCGCTTTTGTAACACCTAATCAAAAACAAAAAAAAAGGGCACACTGTTTTACTGTTATCTGCTCTTGTAAAACTTTAATATATTGCAATGTTTTGACCCAAACAAGGTCTTTGTCAGTCAAAAAATATATTTATAAATATTATATAATCTATTTTAAATTAGTATAGATATTAATCTATACTAATTAGTTAAGAAAAACATGAATGAATTTAGGAATCACAATAATATAATAAGTATGAAGGATAATATTCCTTTTCAAATGTTATATGAATACGTAATAATATTGGTAGTAAATATACATAGTTATGTTTATGATGGTAACACTTTAGTATGGGGACCAATTCTCACTATTACCTAGCTGCTTATTATTATAATTAGCATGCGTATTATTAACATATTGGCTGTTTATTAGTACTTATAAAGCACATATTCTGCATGATCATATTCTAGATCCCTAATCCTACACAATACCTAAACTTAACAACTACCTTACTAACTATTAATAAGCAGCCGATTAGGAGTCTATTGAGGCAAAAAGCATAGTTAATGGTTTTTTAATAGCGAGAATTGAACCTTAAAATAAAGTGTGACCATTATGATTTATATTTGTATGTGTGCATGTGTATGTATATAAGTAAAATATGCAATATATAAAACATGTATATGTATTTTTTTTGTCCCAAAGGAACTAAAGGCAGAAATAAGGGTGAATTCACCAATCTGCAGGGAGTTGCTGCTGCTTCTATTGGCAAGGTCCTGATAGCGGATAGTAATAATCAGTGCGTTCAGGTATAAAATGCTGCACCTGTTTAATCACATTATAAATCCAGTCTTTTACCATCATTCTGCAGATTGCTTATTGCCTATTGAATTTAGAATTTATGAAACATCTGTAAGAAAATTAATTGTTTTATTTATAGATATTTTCAAATGATGGACAATTTAAGAGTCGTTTTGGAGTGAGGGGCCGATCACCAGGACAACTTCAACGGCCAACTGGTGTTGCTGTGCACCCTAATGGTGACATCATCATTGCTGACTATGATAACAAATGGGTCAGCATTTTCTCCTGTGATGGCAAGTTTAAGGTATCTGCATCTGCAAGTTTTTATGTTTATGGTGCTAGAATTTATGGCAAATTATTTTTTTTACCAAATACTTAGCATCAAAAACACTGACAATTCTTTCAGTAGACTGAATTGTGGCCAATTTTTTTCTCTTTCTGTCCTCTGTGTGTTTTTGCAGACTAAAATTGGCTCAGGGAAGCTCATGGGTCCCAAGGGTGTAGCGGTTGATAGAAATGGCCACATCATTGTGGTTGACAATAAATCCTGCTGCGTCTTCATTTTCCAGCCCAATGGAAAACTTGTATCTAAGTTTGGAAACCGAGGCAACAGTGACAAGCAGTTTGCAGGTACTTACCTGGGTTACATACTGACATTTAGGCAGCCCTCACATGCTATCAAAATGATCATAAATACAGGTTTTCTAATTGGAAATTGGACATGAATTGTAAAATCATGTACAATTTATGACTGGGAGACTGAGATCATTTTGATAGCCGAGTTTCTGAGTTGGCTAGGCCATAAACTTTAAACATGACAGAGGAGCAGGGCCGGTGTTCTGACAAATAATGCTACCTATCAGATTATGCTACCAACACTGTATTTATCCTACTGTAAGGGTAGGTTTAGGGTTGGGGTAGGTGTACATGTTAATAAAGCCTCACACCTTATTAATATCATGCTGGAAGCAAAATCTGATAGGTAGCACTTTTCGCTATCGAATTATGCTACCATCTGTTTTAATGGGAGGTAGCAAAATCTGACAGGGTAGCACAAATCGTCAGAACACCGGCAAGCTACAGGCAGAGCAGGTGATTGTCTAGGGCCTCGGGCTTTGAGGAGGGGCCTCCAAAACCGTAAAATTCCCTATATGCCAGTCCATGGACAGCAAAATACTAGCCTCATTGTTCACTAGATATTGTTGAATTGTCACTCACCTGCGATTAAACCAGTTAATGTTGCCGTTTCAAAGCGGGTCCCGCCTTCTGAATGTTTGCGTAACGAACACATCCTTCAGGTGCTGAAGCAAACGGCTAAATAGGCACGCAAAGAAGCACAGCTCATAATGCAGGTGTGTGAGTTGTTGTCGTCTTTTATTTTGGAGTGATTGCAATGTATTCTAAAAATAAACTTGTACTGTCGATCAGGGTTGTTTCTGGACAGATCATTCACCAATTTATTACGAGGTTTAAAAGAGCGCGAGCGCTGATGCGCCCAGACGCGACGCTTTGAATTTGCGCGTACAGTAAATGATTTGATGACAGTAAATCGCGTCGAGAGCTGACTAGCAAAATAGCTACAAAAGTAAAAACAAAGAACTTTGTATTCAAATTCAAAAAGCAAACGCACTAGACCATTTTATTTAATGTTTCAAAAAAAGTACCTCAGATGTGTGTAACTTCTAAATCGTGCTTTTGTATAGGCTATTTAAGGTTGCAATACAATACGTAGGCTAAAATCATATTTATTAATATTAATAATATGACTATCATAGTTAATATTGGTTAAATGGGAGGGAGAAATCCTGCCCATACCCAGCTAGGAAATGTTCATTTACTGAAGTGGTATTCAGGAACTGTGAATAAATTACTGAAAAAAAAATAAAAAAATAATAATAATAATAATAATAATAATAATTTTATCACAGCTATAATAACATCCTCAAAAAAAAAAAATTGATTACCTTAATATAGATTCATATGTACGTGCAGTACTGGTCAAAAGTTTGGACACATTACAGTTTTGAATGTTTTTGAAATAAGTCTCTTATGCTAATCAAGGTATACATTTATTTGATCAGAAATACTGAAAAAAACATTGTTGTATTGACTTAAGTTTAGTTTTTCCCAAAACATCTATATTTTGCATTTTACATATATGAATAACTATTTGATGCATTTGTATGCATTTCACACAGGGGATATAGTATTTATTTAAACAAAAACCCAGGAAAATTAGCAAGCTATTTTACTATGTAAAAAGTATACTTTAGGGCTATGTTTTATTCAAAATATGTTGGATATGGACTAAATATCTTCTGTACATTTTAGCTTGAATAAGGTTTTCCCAAAAATAGGCAAGAATATCCTCGATGATTCATATACTTTCAGACATGAATGTCCTCCACGACTCCTGTTCTTTCCAACAGGAAAGCACTTGAATGTGATCAAATCGTAATTAGACTTCAGAAATGTGAAGTAGAAAATTTCCGAAAGTACATTGTAACGATCGGCCTTATCGGAAGTTGTTACAATAAATAAAAGGGGTCAGATTATACAGTGTGAGGTAAAAAAAAAGTGTTTTTAAAAAGATGAGACAAATGACAAAAGTAGACTGCATAAATATTGGATTTACACAATGCACAAGGAACTTAAAACAACACAATAAAACTAGAATAACTTAGGCTGTTAAAAGCAGATTGCCCATTTGAATCGTACCCTAAAACAGTCCTTAATAGTTCCAAGTAGGGATGTAACGATTACCGGTTTGACGATAAATCGTGATAAAATACCCCACGGTTAGTATTACTGTTTCATATTTTAATTATCACTATAACCGTATTCGATTACCGCGATTTGAACAACTGAGGATAAATAAATACTGTACTGCACAGGGCTCCAGAGTGCAACCAAATGGGCGCATTTTGCGATCATTTTTTCTGCCCGTGCGACTAAATTTTGTGTGAGGTCGCACTGGCGCGACCAGCGCATTGTTTAACTCATAAGCGCTGCATTTCTGTTGCATATGAGAAACATCAAAAGGAAAACGAAACTGAAAGCATAACGAAACCGCGCTACTCGTTTGAACTGCGCAGCGCTTATAGAGTGTAGAGCCTGGTTTATACTCGCCGCGTCCGCAGGAGCGCGAAGGTGCGCGCAACAAAAATTACGCAAATATTGAGGAAAGGATGGATGGTTTTCATGCTAAAGTAAAGTAAAAGACCGCTTCTTAAACCACAGGTGAACATGCTGGTATTCTTGTGGGGGGAAAAACAAACATGCAAGCACTGTCACTGACCGCAAGTTTAGTTTTACTTTTCTTTTCGTTTTCATTTTGAAAAGCTTGTTATCTTTGCTGTTTACCTCACGTTATGCTATGGAGGCTCTCTTTTTTTATTTATTTGATTCCTCAGTGTTTGCTAAACGTTCTGTAATTTATTAGTCGGTATATAATACAGCATGTGGTGTATGCCATGCCTCGTCTTATTCGTTTTTGTTAATAAACGTTTTGTAAGCTAGTTTGTCATTGTATCTTACTGTTTTATTGTTGTGCTTTTTAATTAAGAAAAACAAAGAATCCATCTTTTATTTTAGTCTTAAAAAGTGAAATATTATAGATGTATGTAAGCAAATCAGACAATTATCTTTTCTTGTAAAACGTGACACCAAGATCGCAAATTCGAAAGTGAAAGCATCCGAAGCACGGCTTATAACATAGCTAAAGAGAAACCTCCCGTTCACAAAATTCAAATCACAAATAATACTGATGAAAAAGAAGGGGTTGAATGTTAACCACTTTAGTTTTCATATAAATATAAACTATGATAAAAGTTCATCAGCATGCATTGATTAATTCCTACAAATAAAAATATTGCGACCAAATCATGTGCTGGTGTGACCAACTGAGAAAGTTAGTTGCAAAAGAGCGACCAGTGGGAAGAATGAGTCTGGAGCCCTGAAGCATAAAACACAGTTTTATTACATTAGACATTTGACATTTACATTAGATATTTGAACATGCTATTAGATAAACTGTTGTCAGTCATGTTGTCATTTAAAATCCGGACATCATTGGCAATGTTATTGTTTTAGTTATGCAAACAAAAATTCATTTTATTTGTTGTTTGTTGATTTTAAATGTAAACCTTGGTGAAATTAATTATTTGTGTGTCAGTACTTTTTGAACATTTCCAGCACATTTTAACAATACCGTGATAATACTGATAACCGTGATCATTTTGGTCACTATAATCGTGATAAGAAATGTTCATACCGTTACATCCAGTTCCAAGGTAAAAGTGTCCACCGGCAGTGTTGCCAACTGCTTTCAATTGAAAGTAGCTAAAACTGCTAGCTAAATGTCACTAGATGACATCACAATGGCAAATTCACTGATCTATATAAAGATGAGTGTAGATCAGTGGGCAAGATGAGAACTTAGATAAGGTTTGTCCAAGAAGTTGCTATATTTGTCCCTAAACTTTTGACAAAAGTCTCAAAAGGGGCAGGGACATCGCTAAGTCTAGCTACAAAGTAGATAAATTGGCAACACTGTCCACCGGTGTATATACAATCCAAAGAAAATGATAATCCAAGATGTGTGAGATACTGGAATGGTAAATCCATAAAACAACTCCACCATCCAAGTGTATTCAGTGTTTGGTCAATGACCCTGTTTGTTTGTCATGCTGCTTGCTTTATACTGGTCTACTTCCTGATTCCTGTCATGTGATTAAATGTTCATGGGTCTGCCTGTCATGTGATTAAAGACATTAAAATTATTAAGAGGATTAAAATGGCTAAGACAACATGTAAAACCATTAAAACTCAAATATATAGATATAAAACCATCTTCATATATTGAGCGGTATAAAACGTGTCTTTGAGTGACAGTGTCACAGCATGAAGGCAGCATTAATCTAATAACCACATGCTTTTCAAATTGCTTTCTGTCAGTTCATGCATCTAAAATAGTGTTCCCATTAGTCAATTTTTCAACTGAAAGGCAAAGCCGCATTTCAGAAATGCCATATTGGGTGGGTTAATGTGACGAGGCCTTGAGGTTACCAAATGCTGAATGTTCAACTCTTTATCTTTCCATTTCATAGGTCCACACTTTGCCGCAGTGAATCAAAATAATGAAATCATTGTGACCGATTTTCATAATCATTCTGTAAAGGTAAAACACCTATTCTAATATATTGCCATGTCCTGTCTAAATTATGTAGCCCCAATTGTGGTTACTTTTTGAATAGCAGTTTGCTCATATCTGTTCAAAGTTAATCAAAAACATAAGTCTTTTTAAATACTGATGAGTTAATGCAGATTGTCATCAAATCGCAGGTGTTCAGTCCAGAGGGTGAGTTCCTACTGAAGTTTGGGTCAAATGGCGAAGGAAATGGGCAGTTTAATGCACCGACAGGTGTGGCAGTAGATGCCAACGGCAATATTATAGTGGCTGACTGGGGCAACAGCCGGATACAGGTAATACAGGCTTAGACTAATTAAATGTGTTTAACAATGTGATCACTTGCAGTACACATGTCAGATAAAAGATTTAACATCTTCCTATCATCACACTTTTCTGTGGGACTCCAGGTGTTTGACAGCAGTGGATCCTTCCTGTCCTATATCAACACCTCCGCAGACCCTCTGTATGGCCCACAAGGACTGGCTCTGACCTCAGATGGCCACATTGTGGTGGCAGACTCTGGGAACCATTGTTTTAAAGTATACCGTTATCTACAATAGCACTCTCATCTCTAAAAATAAATACTTGCACTTATTCCTTAAAGCTGCTGCCCCCTTGTGCCAAATGGGACCCTCATATTGCATTGCAGTTGTGTTGTTGTGGCTCCATTTGTGACACCCTCACCTTGGACAGAAGAACAGACTCTGTACCCTGATCGTGGTTCTTTGGTTTTGCAGTATAAAGGAATAACTTTTCCAGAAATACAAATTCTGTCATTTTAGCCTCAGGTTGTCTCAAACCACTAAGGATTTCTTTCTTCTGTGGGATGTAAAAGGGAATTTTCTTGAAGAATATCCTGGCCTTTTCTTGTCTATGTAATTAAAGAGTCTTGTAACCATAAACAGGTTCCAAGCCATACAAAGACATTGTGGGAGGAAAAGATCAAAATCTTCCTGGTTGCTTTAACTCTTCAATCTAAAATTTTGCCATTAATTATGTTGTTAAGAGTCTAAGAGAAAAGGAAGATAAGCAATGTAAATATATATTCATATATTTAGCATATAAAATATTGTAATATAAAAAAATGAATACACATCTTGCTCATTGACTTTTATTATGTAAAAAAGAAATCACCTTTTGTGCTCCATGGAAGAAAGTCAGAGTGATTTGGAACAACACAAGTGTGAGTAAATGACGACAGAAATGTAATTCTTGGTTGAAAGTTATGCAGTTCTTCACCTTTGACTCAAAAACTGCTACACATTAGGGAAAACATTCGTTTCTACTGTATGTTGAAAAATCTGAATGTTTAGATGATTAAAAAGGGAACTCTTCAAAGCATTGGCATGCATAATAAGAATGCAAGTAATGCGATTCCAAACTACTATTGAATTCATATATCTGCACAACAAATAGACAAACCCCCAAAACAAATCTCACTATGGTGGGCTAGTATCAATAATATTTGGCCTGTTTAAAAGTGATGTCAGGAATATTCATAAAATATGCAACAATATATGTGCTTCTTTGCTATTGACTGTGATGTGCACAACTGTGGTTGGTACAATGTTCTTATAATGCAATTAAGTCTCTTGAATCACCCATATTATGCAAGGAACATCACTTGATATGCTTTTTAGATTGTAAACAAAATTTCCTTTTTTTAATATCATTGCACTGTTCATTTAAAAATCAGCCGTGGTCATTTCTCTAAACCATAAAAGTTAATGTGTTGTTCAGAGAAACAATATCACATGCTTAAATCACCAGATGCACTTTGTGATTTAGCAACACAAAAAATATGTATTGTGCTGTTATTAATAATAGCCCCCTGGTTAAATGTTTACCAGAAGACATGCATTATTATAATTACTAATCTTCATGTGTTCTGAGCGTGGTTGTGTTGTGTTGTTGACAAACCAACCATGTTGTGTGTTCATATTCATAATGCTTAAAAAAACGAAAAAGTGCCCAGGGTTCTTTTCAAGTGTATTTATGCCGCACACAGATAAATCTTCCTTGTCTTATGTCCGTTCTCCTGTACAGTTCGATTGTCATACACAGGGAACTATTGCTGCTTGTTTGCACAAAATACACAATATATTACATGATGTACATTCCAGAATGTATTTCTCCCCTTTATATCCACAAACCTGCTTTTTTTGTAGCATTAAAGCTTGCATTTTACTTTGTTGTATTATCACATGAAAAGACATGCAACCAATTACGCTTTTACATTTGTAGATCTTAATGCCACATTCAGGTGACATGGGTTATATCATTTTTTGCACAGCACATAAATAAACTGCAGTATTTGAGATGTTTTGGATATATTCTAGTCATTAATTGACTAAACACAGGCCTATAGAATGATGGTGTACTTAATTTTATAAGGATGCGTAATTTGTTCCATGCTGTACTTTTATGGTTATGAAAGCAATCTAGAACCTCAGATGGAAACTTAGGACAAACCCTTGGAGCACTAGAAATACAGTAAAATGGTCTACTGTTTTTACTGAGTGAACTGAGTCAGTTTGATAACAGTTGACTGTGAGCCTTAATTCCCAGTCAAGATCTCCTGAGCCATTCATCAATTCACGATTCATTTCATGTCCATGTTTCAATTTGCTTAAAATTGCAAAAACTAATAGAAGGGACATGAAGGCAGGGTAAATTTTTATAGTGAATGGATCTTAAGTTTAAAAGAGCGGGGAAAAAAAATTAATTAAAAAATAGTCAATATTACCTATTTTAAATTTATTTCTAACATGTAAATGGTTTAGAAATTTTTTTGATTGTTTAAATTTAAAATATTTAATTTTGCTCATGTTTTGTCAAGGATGTACTCTTAAAAGTAAAGGTGCTTAAAAGGTTCTTCACAGCGAAGCCATAGAAGAACCATTTTTGGTTCCACAAAGAACCATTCAGTCAAAGGTTCTTTAAAGAACCATCTCTTTTCATGTCCATGTTTCAAGTTGCTTAAAATTGCAAAAACTAATAGAAGGGACATGAAGGCAGGATAAATTTTTATAGTGAATGGATCTTAAGTTTAAAAGAGCGGGGGAATTAGACAAAAGATTTTCTTCTATGGCATTGTGAAGCAGCTTTATTTTCAAGAGTGTATTTCATTTTTTTTCACTAGCATGTTACAGTATTTAAACCACTGACAAAACAAACCTAAAGAAATTCACAACACAAAATCAAGTACAAAACTTTTTTTTTTTTTAATTTTCAATGGTCAAACTTGCCAAACATCTAGAAAAATATACAACAAAATGCTGAACCTTACCACAACATCAAACATAAAAGAAAGAAGAATATTCACATTTTTCCCCCTTTAGAGATAAAAGCACATTCTGTTTTTCCTTATTATTCAAAACAAAAGCACCGTTCGCTCACATATCCCCACAGTAGCCTGAATCGTTGGAGAGCTGAGAGTTGGAGCTCCGGTTTGAAGACGAGTTCCATATGTCCAAATTCATGTGTGGTCCAAAGGGATTGAAGCTGGAGTATTGTTTTCCCGGGCAGGCGCCGCCTGGTTCGCGGCTGAAGGGTGCGACGGGTGAGATGGGTGAGTGGGACGAGACCGGCACGGAACGCTCTAGGTGGAAGTGGCTCTGGTAAGGCTCGCTTTGAGGTGTCCAGATGGAGCCAAATAGACTGGACATGGGTGACAGACTTCTGGTTCCTGAAAAGTATGGCTAGGAAAAAAAATAAAAAATTATGAGGGAAAAATTGCTTTAATATTCCAAGCATCTACTTCTCAATGAAGACAAACTACACACATTTTATTAGGCTGGAAAATAAACACTGTGTAAACAGTGTGTTTCTAAGGAGCTCAGAATAATACTGTCCAAATAACTTTTAAACCAAGATGCCAGTGTAAACCGTTTTTCTGCATTTGCTTGCAATTTGTGGGTGTTAATAGTTCAAGTATCTGCTACTCTTTATATTGCACACTTAATTGTAATGTACTAGTTTAAATGTTAACATGAGACTCCAACTCTTACAACTGCATTATAGTATCCTCAAAAACATCGATTTTGAGATACATATTGATTCTAAATATTAAAAACACTTAGGATACACTGTTGTCAGCTATGCTTTCTCCCCAAGTCTTCTCTGTGAGGCCATAATGTGCATATTTTTATTAGATAAGTATATAAACCCTTGCACTGTATGTTTTAGTCAAGTGTCAGTGTTATTCCACGAGCAGCTCATGACTCAGCGTTTTCAGGGTCTACAAGAGTGGCTCGGATCACAGTGAATGCAGCAAACTCCATCTCTGAATGTGCTGCGAGTTTAACATGCAGTTTCACATTCACATCATGTACAGCATTTTTTGTGGACAGAAGATTTCACTACATTTGTAGGAAGTGTTTGTAAACAAATAAAGGTCTCTTTCTAGTTTTCCACCTAAATAAAAGAAATTAAAGTAAAGTAAAATAATTACTATATTTAAATATATTACAGTACAGTTGTAGTACAAAAATAACACATTTTTGACTAAGAAATAACAATATATTAAAATGTGTATTTTATTTAGAAAGTCCATTTGTACAGTCTCTTTTTTGCACTTTTGGAAATATTTGTTGCTCTGATTTTTCTAGCTGACTCGGAGAAATGCACAAGAATTCCAATGTACCTGTACTACAATGTACTTGTGCAAATGGCAATACACTCTAAACTAGTAATAATAATATATTATATTACTGTTATTAGTATTAGTATTATTATTTAACCCCCTCTGAGCTATCATAATCTCTGTTATAGTTTCAGTTAACAAGAAAATATTTTGCTTAGTTATTAAGTACATTAATTTAGATACTGTTTAAATTGTATACCCTTAATTGTAGCATTTCTCTGTGTCATTGAAAATGGTATCAAAACAACAAAAATATTGTTTATTTAAATTGCTGATTTATGGCGTGATAAAGACATAACCAAAAAAAACTTGTAATATGTAAAAGTATAATTTGCATATTTAAAAATAACATTTCAGAAAAACTTGTAATACATAAAATGTCTGCAATTCTTAATGTAATCAATCAACTGGGGAAGTATGGTGATATCTGTTACTTAAATTTCTTATTCTATTCACCTGGGGTGTCGCCTCAAATATCGATACTTTTCAAGGTAACACTGTTGCCTTCTGATTTTAAGAAAGTGCCTGACAAAAACAAACACTCATGTAAATCTCACCTTGCTGCCCACACAACTGCCAGTGTCCCATGTGGAGTTCATGTCATGGGTTCCATTCTCACCCCACACTGGCTGATGGCTGTGGGTCACGGTTTGGCTTTGATGGCATGAGAATGCATTTTGGTAATTGCCATTACCTTCACAGAAAAAAAAACAAAGAAAACGTTGACTCATCCTTTAGTTACTATGTAGTACAGTGATATATTTTAACTCCTCGTGACAGAAAACTCCTCACCTGTTGGCATGTAGTTGGTCTGGTCACTAAAGGGATACTGACCGGCACATTGGCTGTTCACGTTGTTCCAAGGGAAGCTTCACGGTAATGACACATAAGAATTTTTATCTGATTGTGTATGGACACATAATATGAAGTCAAAAACGAAATGGATAGTATATAATAAAAAGCCTATGAGACATACCTCTCATATCCTGATGAGGGACTCTGAGGGACGAACGGGAGGGATTCGGTCATGTTGTACCTGAATTCATTGGTCAGAGGAATTGAGGCCGGTGACCACGTCTCTTCAATCACATTAGAGCCGATTATGTCTGGTGAAACCAAAATAAAACATATGAGTGTGCATCTTAACCGTGATTCTCTTTTTAAGTGTAACGTGTGAATGTCCCTCACCAATGTTTTTGTCCACACCTGCAGCTACATCAGCGAAGGTGTGAGGGATTGCAGGGGCGGCACAGACTTCTGGGTTTTGGCATGGTTCCCTGACATAAAGATTGTTCATGCTGTGGACAAAAGCATTTATATATCATCAAACACTTTCAGGATTCTTAAGTCAAAACACAACAAACTTAAAGGATTAGTTCACTTCCAGAATAAACAT